GCTAGTTATGTCTGCTCTAATTGTTTGGCAGTATTTTGTTTTGTTTTGTTTTTTTTAAAATAGGATTTCTGTCTCTATTTGAGGTTTTCTCTGAAAATGAAGACTTAGAACCACTTTAGATAGCAATGAATTTTATGTACCCTAAGATGCTTTAATCACTCTCACATAACTTTTAAAAATTATTTTTAATTATGGTAAAATACACGTAACAAAATATATCATCTTCACTATTTTAGTGTATAGTTCTGTGGTATTAAGTGCATTTACATTGTTGTGCAACTGTCACCATCATCCATCTCCGGGACTCTTCATCTTGCAAAACTGAAACTCTGTACACATTAATCAACTCCCATTCTCCCCTTCCCCCAGATCTTGCATAATTTTAAAAATAATTTATCTGACTTCCAAAGTTTTCTGCTTTTTCAGGTGATAACATTTTGCACTTTAGGTTAGCCTTAGTGTCTGAAAATAGTGGGATATTTGCCTGAATAATTTTTCATTTTATATAACAGTAATCATAGGTAGTGTGCCTGTGCACAGTACTCCGTTTTTCTCCATTAGCTTAAATAATTATTTATAGAAAGTTATTAGATACCACTGGCTAGAAATGATTTTTTAATTATTTGAGAGAGAGAGAGAGAAACAGCGATTTGTTATTCCACTTATTTATGCATTCATTGGTTGATTCTATTTTTTAAATATATTTTATTGATTTTTTACAGAGAGGAAGGGAGAGGGATAGAGAGTTAGAAACATCGATGAGAGAGAAACATTGATCAGCTGCCTCCTACACACCCCCTACTGGGGATGTGCCCACAACCAAGGTACATGCCCTTGACCAGAATTGAACCTGGGACCCTTCAATCTACAGGCCAACACTCTATCCCATTGGTTGATTCTTATATGTGTCCAGACCAGGGATGGAACCCCCCAAACTTGGGTATATCAGGACAATGTTCTAACCAACGGAGCTACCCAGCCAGGGCCAGAAATTGTTTATTTATTTATTTTATTTTTATTTATTTTTAATTTTTTTAAAATATATTTTACTGATTTTTTACAGACAGGAAGGGAGAGGGATAGAGAGAGTCAGAAACATCGATCAGCCACCTCCTGCACACTCCCTACTGGGTATGTGCCCGCAACCAAGGTACATGCCCTTGACCGGAATCGAACCTGGGACCCTTGAGTCCCCAGGCCGATGCTCTATCCACTGAGCCAAACGGGTTAGGGCAGAAATCGTTTTTTTAAAAAGTGACTTAGAAAAGAAGAAAATAACTATATGAATTGTGAAGTGATTGCCAAGAAGAATTATAAGTAAGTGAATAGCTGAGTGATTTTTTTGAACAATTTGATTTTGGAATATTTATTGCAACGATTCCGAATTTAAAAATGAATAAAAATATTTTTAGACATAGTGGACTGAAAATAAAGTAAAAATTATTTTTGAAGTGTGAAAAGTGGAATAAAAGACTCAGGTGAACATAAAAGTATCTCATGGTGCTTCAAAGTATACAGTATGTGAAAAAGTAGAAATATTGGTGTTCAACTACTGTTTACCAGTTTCATTTGTTCAGACTATATGCCAGTTTCATATTATTCCCAGTTAATGGAAATGATCCTTAATACTAGACATGTACATTTCAAATCTGTGATTTTGGTCTTCTACCTAGGAGCTTAAAAAAAGATTTGAGCCCTGGCCGGTTTGGCTCAGTGGATAGAGTGTA